TTAAAAATTAAAATTAAGGAAAAAATTTCTACCACACACACTACAATACAGTAAGGCTGTGAGGTATTAAATATAATGATACCTCGGTACGGTATTGACAAAATATCCCGGTATTACTAAATATAGTAATTTATTTTAAAATACTAAAAAAATTAATTAATAATTTAATTAATTAATATTTTAGCTTTGAATGTTGGCAAGTACTGTACTTAATTTAAGTGATTTTAAAGTTAAAGATAAAAACTAGCCATTGCACTGTGTCTGGCTCAAAATGGTGTCATAATTCTGCCACTCCTACTGAACACTTTCACATTGTCAACAACCTTGCCTAGTTGCCTTATGTATCTTTTCATGTATTTTTATGTGTATTTGGCACTACTAAAGTACTGTAAAAGTACAGTATTGACGGTATAACAGTATTAGTAGTTGATACTATATTAAAAACCTTTGAAACTTAAATATATACCTTCTATATCTAAAAGTAATACCTCGGTATATAGAAATATAGGTATACCTCACAGCCCTACAATACAGTACATGGCAGTTGGAGCAACTTTTAAAATTCATAAACTTTCTACATGCATCAGAAAAATTCTCTTCTAATCATTTTTGCTAAAACTTAGCCATTGTCGCTAGTACAGGGTCTTTGGCCCAATTTTTTGAGTACCTTTAAAAATTCATAAAAAACAAATATTGATCAAAATAAGCAAAAACTTCTACACAACATACATGTAAGTACATCAAAAATGTAATAAAAATGGTAAATTCTCTCATTTTTGATGAAATTTGGCCAATGTCCCTGTACTATATAGCAAGGCTGCAAAAGTCGTGGCAGCCATTTTGAAGTGGGGCGAATCCTACTTAGTAACGCTACTGCATTACTAATAGTACAGGGTCTTTGGCCCAATTTTTGAGCAACTGTAAAAATTCATAAAAAATCTAATTTTGATCGGAATCAACCCAAACTTTCTACACAAAATAAGCACATGTATACTGTAGAGTGCTTTATTTTGGCGACACTTTATTTTGGCAATTTGCTAAAAAAAAATTGTAATTGGCTGTTTTTAATTTGGCAATTTTTGTGTACACGTGCATTACTGAGCATGTGCATTAATGATTGGCAGTTTTAATATTGGCGATTCTGCTTGCAAACTGCCAATCGCCAAAATAAAACTCCACCAAATTAAAGCATTATGTGGTATGTATCAAGAAATGTAATAAAAATAGAGGAATTTGTCCTAGTCATTTTAAACAAAATTTGACCAATCTTTCATTAAATTTTTGAGTAATTTTAAAAATTTATAAAAAAATCCAATTGTGATTGGAATCAGCTGAAACTGTAAAAAAGATACTTTTTTTCACTTTTGATAAGCAGTGTGTAGCACAAGCAGATTAAATGCTATTTTTATACAAGTGACCAAAATCAGACACTGTTACTCTATTACACGTATTGCTATAAATAATGCTTACCAGTGTTAGAGAAAGAGTATTGTGGCCTTGAACTATCAAAGGAGTATGACTAAAAACAGAAATAGCATATGTACATGTACATGTACATGTACATGTATTAACATACTGATGGTCTCATTTCTGCCATCATCTCATACTGATAACGAGGAGGCCCTTGGACTTCTATAATAAATAAATACAGGATAATAAATACATGTAAATAACATTTAAAAACCATAATTCAAATGATACAGTTGACAATGAGTAATACTGTATAGTGGGAAATTTTGGTGGGTGTTAAGCTGCTAAATTTTGGTGATTGGCAAACTTTAATTTGGCAAATTTGTGGCCCACATGCCACATACTGTACAAGATGATTTATTGGGGAGGAATTAATATTGGCGATTGGTGGTTCTATGAAGAAATCGCCAATATAAAATCTACCATTTTGTTTCAATCTGAGCATGCTCAATGACACGTGGCACAAAATTGCCAATATAAAATTCACCAATAACTTTCTACAGGCAAATTTGCAAAATATTACTCCCACCAATAAATCATCTTGTACGGCAATCACTCAAAATGGCAGGTTTTTTGGCAAATGGGTATGCCAAATTCACCATTTAATAATACAATAATACATTAATTGCTCATTAAACTTACTATTTTCTATTCTTAGCTGTTGTAAGGTATCAGCTTCTCTCAGTGCCAAGTCAAACCATTTCTTAAAATAGTCAATTTTAACCTGGTCCTTAAGATCACTGAATGAATGAGCCTAAAACACAAGAATCATCCATATACTGTACAAGGGTCATTCATATACAAGATAATCATAATTATACCTCTAGAGTTGAGAATGAATTACGTCATTATACTTGTACCTATTTTACCATATAGCACTTTATTTTGGCGGCACTTTATTTTGGCACTTTTCCTGTAAAATTGTAATTGAAAATTTTTAATTTGGCAATTTTTGTGTACACGTGCAATACTGAGAATGCGCATTAATGATTGGCGGTTTTAATATTGGAAATTCTGCTTGCAAACCGCCAATTGCCAAAATAAAACTCCGATAAATTAAAGCGCTATACGGTATATAGAAATTTTGAGCAAGTATGAATCAAAATTAGAATTTTGTCAAAAATGGCTAGGAGAAAATTCTCAATTTTTACATCACAGTAACACCAAGAGTACAGTAACACATATGGCTCAAAAATAATTCCATGGATTGAATGGATGGTGGATGGATGGTGCACCAATGGGTTAAAGCAGAAAGCAAGCCATAATAAAGAATCTACTGCATAATGCACCAAATCTGTTACACATAGCTACTTCGTTCTTCCAACCAACTTTTTACTTCATTTTTTCTTCATTAAATCTTGCTGTCCAAAATGGCAGTCAATCATTACATATGTACATGTACATATACATCTACAATGTACAATGTAGGTGGACACATCTCAAAATAATGTTTCGTAATTCAAAGCTCTAGAGGTCTTTACTAATAATCAGTGTCATTTACTTTGTATTTGACTGTATTCTCATAATCATAAGGTGCAAAATTCTTTTTGTTCTTATAGCTCATAGGAATTCTACAGTAACATAAATAAACAAGTGTATTAGTGTAAAAATATTCCTAAGATTATTTTCACCACCTTGCATGCATTGCTTTCATGTGCTGGGTTCTTAATAGAGGTTCTCCCTACCTTTAATGCTTCTAGCAAAGTCCTCAGACAGTATCTCTGTTTTATCTTGCTGTTAAAATGCTCAAAACTTCATCTTGCTTGTAAGCCACCATTTTGTATGTCATGGCCACACCAATGTCATTTAAGGGGCATGTGAGGGCAGGTTGGTTGTTAAGGTGCCTTAATTGTTATTTCTCCAATACAATGTGTATTGAAGAAATGTAAGAGTTGACATGCATGTACAGTGTACATACATGTATATTGCGCATGGGGTAAACAATCTTAGGAATGACAATGCAGCTTAGACACAAGTCGTAAAAATACTATACCGTACAAGATGACTTATTGGTGAGGAATTAATATTGGCAATTGGCAGTTCTGTGAAAAAATTTCCAATATAAAATCGCGACCATTTTGTTTCAATCTGAGCATGCTCAATGGTACATGGCAAAAAATCGTCAATATAAAATCCACCAGTTTCTTTCCACAGTCAAATTCACCAAATATTACTCTCGCCAATAAATCACCTTGTACGGTATCTACGTGTACATAAAACTCACGGGTGTCTATCAGGCCAACCGAGAAAATACACTTTAAGTTTTTTGGTCCGTTTATTTAAACTATCAACCTAAGAGTAGAGTTATACACTGTACATTTAAGTAAAGGAAGATCATACCAATGCTGGCCAAAAAGGATATTTTCCATACTTCGTCCAAATAATTGTATTTTCCTTGACATCAGAAACTAAAAGAAAAATATGTCACACAGTTACAGTGACACACACACAACTATTGGCTCAATGATAATGTGACTTGGTTTTACAATAACATGTAACGCATGGCACAAAATTTTCGATGGCTGTAAATTTCGTAAAAATCTACATGTATCTTGTGGATTTAATTTTTGCAATTTTATACCGTCTGCTATCTTGTACCAAAATAATTTGATTTTTGCGGAATTTTCGTGAATATTTTAAAAATTACAAAATCCACAAAATCTATAACCCTAAAAAATTTTGCACTATACAGCAATGTAGATGTTGCTAAATGCATACAAACTATTGAGCAAAAACATTGAAGGAAACATACTGGGATAAGTTATGAGCATTCAAAGTTTAATAAAAGCAAAGACTGCAAACAACTTATATACAATGTTGAAAATGTTAATTTATATTAAGAAAAATTTTAAAAACTTAACAAAAGCATCCATTAAAAGTTGCTATCAGTACAATGGACTACCAGTAGTATAAACACATCTGCTTAAAAGTATCAATACTCTTGATAACATGTACATGTACATACATACAATTGATTGACTACAAGTCACTACACTACAGAGATGAAAAGATGCTATTAAAATATATAAGTATTATCAAGATTAGATACTGGTAATTATTTTAGGGTTGATGCTATCAATACTAATGCACATTGAACTGGGCAATAATTTATTAAGCACATCATGTATTGGGTACATTTTAAAGCCTCCTTTATGTTAAATAAATTGACAGGTGGTACTAATTGTGTAGACATTTCATGTATTGGTTTGTGTGCAAGTTACTATGGCTTCATGACCATCTTCAATAAAATCAATTTAAAATAATGCCGTAAAACATGAAAATAAAGCTTAAGCTACAAAAATTAGCAAATCAATGTCTATTGATTTACAATGAATATGTATAGTCACTTACTAGACCAATCCCCTTTACAGAAACTAACAGTAGGTAGACCATCATCATCAGACTCACTGTCACTATTTAAAAGTGTAGAGTAATCACCAGCTTCATCGCCACCCTCTTCATCAGTATCTTCAAAAATATCCCCATTATTAGTCTCTTTTATGATTTCCACTGATTTATTCGTAATTGATTGATGGTCGCTATCAAGCGGTTCTTTATTTTGTGAGGTGCTAGCTTCATCAGTAACTGCGCTTGGTCCTGCTTCATCCTTTAATGATAGAGGAGACTCTGAAGGGAGTTCGAAGTCAGGCTCAACATGGCTACACTTAGAGGGCCTTTCCTCTGTTGAAGTACCAGTCGACTCAGTCTCAGGTTCTGTAGAACGCTTCCTCTTTCGCCTCTTCACTCTCCGTAAGGAATCAGATGAGATTAGTCCTGAACTTTCAACATCACTAGAAATAGGACTTTCCCTTGCATTGAGAGTGACAAAACTGTCACCATTCTGAATATCATTCATTGTTAATATTAATAATTGATCAACCACGCCCAACAGATAATGAATAAATATTTTAAATTAATAATTATTACTGATTCAAGCCAGCCTGATGTCTATTTTGATACTGGCATCAATGTTGTGTTGAATCATGTCTGTTGCTCTGCCTGAACCAGTAAGCTTACCATACACCAGCATGGTTGTATTATAATCATGAGCTTTATGGCTGACAATCAAAATTGTATCAATCATGCTATGCCGGCTGCATGCACATGCAGGCTGCCCAAAATTATGATACAGGGATGTGTCAAGCTGGGTCATGATTGAAATCAGTCATAAATCAACTTAAAATTCTTGGCTGTGTACTAAAGTATAGCATGTCTTCACCCAAAACTCTACTAAAACTGAGTTAATTGTGGCAGTTGACATGATGCAGCATCATCCATATCAATAATCAGGCCGTAAATCCAACCATCATTCAAACTGAGTATCATCAATTCCTCACAAAACAGGAGCTACTAGCCCCTGACTCCAGTACAAGGCTTATTTACACTAACAAACACTAACCCCATAACTATGTTACATGTAAAATCAATGCTAAACCATTGCATGAGTTAGATGTGTGAACATTACTAGGCAACTTTGTTGTTGGCAACCTGAGATCAAAACAGTCAAAGCAGTGCCAAAGCTGTTTATTAAGCAGGATGCATTGTCTTCAAAAATGGAATAATCTTAAAGTAGTTATCAGTCTAGTTCAACCAGACTATATTTATCCATGATACTTGTAAAATCACTTCAATGAATGCATGGCGCAATTCACTTGGCAATTTAAATTCACTTGGCAATTTAAATTCACTTGGCAATTTGTTATTAATTATTAACATGCAGACAACTGATTTTATTCATCAAAAAAAAACTTTATTTTATCAAAAAACAACCTCACAACTGAATTCAAACTCTATACTAATATTACTAAAACTAAACTATTCAAAAGCTAGTCTCTATAAGTTCATGGCACAGGCACACAGCATAGCAGTCTCAGGCCAAAAATCCAACCAAACTGAGTATCATCACAAAGACAGGAGCTACTAGTCCAGTAGCACTGGATACTCCAGTACAAGGCTCATCCACACTAACACCACTGCATGAGTTGACACCAGATCCAAAATATGGCTCAGTACAGCAACCCATCCTATCATTGAATGTGTTAACATAAGAAAGACAAGTGGAGGAAGCAGAACTGCAGGATATTCCACTAGAGGTAAATGTACAGGTATTTAACAAACTTTGGAAACTTGAGTAATCTCCTCGATATTCCCTTATGTACCTCACCTCACAATAGTCTCCACTCTCCTGTCCACAAACACCTTGACGAATCAAGGTAATGAGATAATCCCTCAAGGAATCATCATTCGTCACTATACAATTGTAGTAGGTGTCAATTGGATCGATGCAAGCTGAGACACAAAGTCGAGCATAAGCATTGTTGAGAGCAGTGAGCTGAGCATCAGTGAGGGATGAAACAGGAAGATCTGAGAGACCACCTGAAAGTTCTGTGAAGTTGCAATAGGAAGGAAGGTTGCTTTGAAGCTGGTTTAAACAAGTAGTGAGGTTTTGACGTACTTCCAGTTGAGAGCTATACCTCTTGCTGATTTTGTGCACCCAGTCAGTGACAGCAGCTACATCTCTTTTCTTTGTAGTTACAGCACCATCACTTGAAGCAACAACAAGAAAACAGCAAAAGAGAAAAATCATGAACATCCTCAATGGAAGTAGCACAAAGTAACAATGATTAAAAACAATAAGTTTCTGTAAAATATAGCACAAGTGGCAGCTGTTATAAAATATCTAATTCATAATGAATTCATTGTTGATTTATGACAAGCAAACTGTTTAATTGATAATACCCACATTGGCTTCATGTGACTAGTTTATGCTACTTTACAACAGTTATTATTGTTATTAGAGACACTGACTATCGTCAGGCAGAGGCCCAGACTCTACTTTGACCAAATTTGGTCATTTTTACAACCTCGTATAGTAGTTACTTTTACAGAGTAACATTTACAGTACAGGGTGTGGTCTTGTTATGCAAGACCACATTTATTTTTTGTAGCTATCGACATTTTTAGTAACAGACTAACAGATGCTATAAGCCAGAGGATCAAAAGTGCTTATTATGCTGCACATTCACAGTCCCATGGGATTTTAGCCTTTAGAGTAAAGCAAATGTTTGTGAACAAGACTATTGTGTACATTTTTGTTAAAAATGAATGTAATGCAACAATTCAAATTATATGAACCAATTAGAAATACATTTATTATAAATGAGTGAATGACAAGCCTTGTTGGCTTGTCCTCCATATGCAGATCAATTACATTAACACATGATAGCAAGAGTGGATAATCCACTCTTGATAATAGGCACCGGTATAGTGTATGTTGTCAAACATGTACTGTAATAATAAAACTAATGTAACAGTTAATATGAATTAGTTTTATAGAAAGAAAGAATCTAAACATGACAAGAGTACATTCAATGTATTATCACCACTGAAAGTGTTTAATTGTAAACTAAGCATGGTAAGTATTTGCTTGTAAACACAAGAGGGAGTGAATGGAAGAGTGTTAACTAGGAGAGCAGTTATACTGTGGCTTTTACTGAGTAAACAATAAATTCTAAGAATTTGCAAAAGCAATTTTAGTACACCTAATATAATACTTAATTCATTGCAACAGAAGTTATGTATAAATTGAAAACCTCAGAGGAAACATAAAGCAATGTTGCATTATACTTTGCATCATTATAATAGCAGATCCCTAATAAAAAGAATGCACAAACAGTGAGATAAATTTTACTAATTTTTACAATAATTTTTGTCAAAGTGCACAAGTAAGCCTGCTAATGACTTTATTTTAAAAAAAGTTTTAAAAAAGGTACGCCAACATAATTTTGCAGGAATTAGAAAGTGAAATTACAGAGGCAGTTGACATAAAATTTTGTCATAAAACCCTTGGTACTAAGATGCATGATTACTTCCAGACTTTCTAATCACAAACCATTAACTGACATTTTGAGGTATAACAGACTGAGGCAATGCTTTTGGCTTTATTTTTCGTAAAATTATTTTCATGGAGCACTGCATTACAGCAGGAAGTGCTATATAACAACAATGGCTCTAAAGTTTGAGCAAAATATTGCATTAAAAGTAAAATAATTTGATAAATTTTCCATACAATTTCCAACTCTCCTCTCTCTATTTATTTTAATCTAAAGAGACTTAGCAATTTCTGGAACAATAATTTTTAAAATAAATTGCAAAAATTAATTTGCTACTTAATAGTACTTCTTGTGTTCAGTTTTGGAGTAGGTGCAAGCATAAGAAAAAAAAATTAGCTGCATAATAACAAAAAATAATTATTAATTTCCAGTGAACTATAGAACAGTATGGAGTCATTGGGCCATATTCTGTAGTACTACTGGAGTATAGCATGTATGGTATGCCATAGAAAATAATATTATTGAACACATACATGTACAGTAGTTATGATGTTGACAAGTCTGAAGCTGTGGAAGCAATTCAGGCAACTATAGAGGGAAGAAAAGAATAAAGAAAGAACTGATGTGTGATAATACAGTTATCCATGTTCAGCCTCACTCTCCCACTCTCTTCCTCCTTCCTTTCTCTTTTTCTTTGTCTTTTACCTATTATTAATACCTCTCCTTTTCATTTCTTCTTTTTTATTTACTCAATTTTCACTTTATCTATCATTAATTGATAGTCTTTCCTGGATGTGATGTGACACTGTATGTACCTGATGCAAACAAAAAGTACATATAAATAAAAATACTCTTCACAAATTCTAAAAATGTGCTTATACGTACAAAAGGATATTTTGGAGGGAGTTAAATTTGGCAAATTTGCTAAATTTTGGTGATTGGTGAATTTTAATTTGGCAAATTTGTGGCCACGTGCCATCATGCATGCACATAATGGCTCAAAATGGTGGATTTTTATTTTGAAAATGGCTATCAAATTTACCAAATTTATCTACCTCCAAAATTTCCTTCTGTATGGTACATAGATCTACACTGTAGCTAACCCTGTACATATCGTATAGTGGTTATTTTCAAGGATAACAAATTTTGCAAATTTATCAATTTTTAAGATTCAAGAAATTATATATTCCTTGAAATTTAATACAGTACAAGATGGTAGAATAGTGGAAATTTGCAAAAGTTATTTTGTGAACCTTTGAATTATCCTTAAAAACCACTATACTGCAGTAAAGGATTCACTATCATCATATCCATCATTACCTGTAATTATATGCCTGTCTTATTGGTCTTCTCCTAGCTGATGGTTTCTTACATTTGTATTTCTTCCACTCTCTCTTCCTCCTGTTCTATTTAATGACAGGTGCTCAGTCAACCAAGGAAAATATCTCTACAGTACATATCAATTATCATGTTAGTACATATCAGTATGTGTATCACAATACAGTACACAACTTTTAAAATTTATTAAAAAATCCAAATTTGATTGGAATTAGCTCAAACTTTCTACACAACATAAAACATGTACATGTATATATATATCAATAAATTTTTTCCTATCCATTTTCGATAAAATTTGGTTTGAGACCTTGCAAGGACTATGGCCCAATTTTTGAGCAACTCCAAAAAGTCATAAAAATCATTTAAGTGGAATTACATGTACTTCAAAATTTTTTAAACAATATAAGGGCATTTATATGCATTAAAAAATTATAAAAATGTAGAATTTTCTCCTTGTCATTTTTGATAAAAATTTGTTCGAGATTTTGTCATAATGGTACAGGGACTTTGGGTCATTTGTTGAGCAACTTTAAAAATTTCTAAAAAAAATCAAATTTGATCGGAATTAGCTCAAACTTTCTACACAATATAAGGATATGTATATGCATCAGAAAATCTTCTCTTGGTCATTATTGACAAAATTTGGCCAATGTATTCGGCCCAATTTTTAAGCTACTTTAAAAATTTATAACAATCTTATTTTAAATGAATTCAACTCAATCTTTCTACCATAACATACAAAAGTACATTATAATTTAGTAAAATAGAAAATTTATATAGTACCTCTTAAATATTATGTACATAAATAAAATGTAAGCTACTATGGCATAAATAAAGCCTACGTACATTAGGCTATAAAAATTAGTCACTTACCAGACCAATCCCCTTTACAGTAGAATAATTGCCTACTTCATTGGCACCCTCTTCATCAGTATCCTCATAAATATCACCATTATTAGTCTCTTTTATGATTTCCACTGATTTATTAATAATTGATTGATGGTCACTATCGAGCGGTTCTTTATTTTGTGAGGTGTTAGCTTCATCAGCAGCTGCACTTGGTCCTGCTTCATCCTTTAATGATAGAGGAGACTCTGAAGGGAGTTCAAAATCAGGCTCAACATGGCTACACTTAGAGGGCCTTTCCGCTCTGTTGCAGTACCAGTCGACTCAGTCTCAGGTCCTGTAGAACGCTTCCTCTTTCGCAGCTTCACTCTCCGTAAGGAATCAGATGAGATTAGTCCTGAACTTTCAACATCACTAGAAATAGGACTTTCCCTTGCATTTACGGTAACAAAACTGTCACCATTCTGAATATCATTCATTGTTAATAATTGATGAACCACGCCCAACAAAATAATAATGAATAAATAATTAAAATTAATTATTATTGATTCAAGCCAGGTCTATTTTGATACAACTTTGACTGGCATCAATGTTGTGTTGAATCATGTCTGTTGCTCTGCCTAAACTAGTAAGCTTACCATACACCAGCATGGTTGTATCATAATCATGAACTTTATGGCTGACAATCAAAATTGTATCGATCATGCTATGCTGCATGCACATGCAGGCTGCCCAAAATCTATGATACAGGGATGTGTCAAGCTGGGTCATGATTAAAGTCAGTCATGATTCAGATTAAAATTCTTGGCTGTGTACTGAAGTATAGCATGTCTTCACCCAAAACTCTACTAACACTGACGGAGTTAATTGTGTTCACAGGATGCAGCATGACATGTAGATCCATTTCAAAATCACACTACAAATCCAACCATCAAACTGAGTATCATCACAAAGACAGGAGCTACTAGTCCAGTAGCACTGGATACTCCAGTACAAGGCTTACAAAACTGCATGCATGAGTTGAATGTGCAAACATTACTAGGCAACTTTGTTGCTGGTAACCTGTGATCAAAACAGTCAAAGAAGTGCCAGAGCCATTCATTAAGCAGGGGCATTATAATATTTAAAAATGGCATAATCTTGAATTAAAGTAGTTATCAGTCTAGTTCAACCAGACTAGTCTATATTTATCCATGATATTTGTAAATATATCACTTCAATGAAGTTCTGATGCAATCTGCATGGCGCAATTCACTTGGCAATTTGTTATTAATTATTAACTAATAACTGATTTTATTCATCAAAAAAACTTTATTCATAAAAAAAACAACTTCAAAACTAACACAAACTCTATACTAATATAACTAAAACTAAACTACGGTTCAAGAGCTAGTCTCTATATTGTTCATGGCACACAGCAGTAGCAGCCTCAGGCCAAAAATCCAACCAAACTGAGTATCATCACAAAGACAGGAGCTACTAGTCCAGTAGCACTGGATACTCCAGTACAAGGCTCATCCACACTAACACCACTGCATGAGGTGACACCAGATCCAAGATATGGTTCAGTACAGCAACCCATCCTATCACTGAATGTGTTAACATAAGAAAGACAAGTGGAGGAAGCAGAACTGCAGGATATTCCACCAGAGGTAAATGTGCAGGCATTTAACAAACGTTGGAAATTTGAGTAATCTCCTCGATATTGCCTTATGTACCTCACCTCACAATAGTCTCCACTCTCCTGTCCACAGACACCTTGACGAATCAAGGTAATGGCATAATCCCTTAAGGTATCATCATTCGTCACTATACAATTGTAGTAGGTGTCAATTGGATCGATGCAAGCTGAGACACACAATCGAGAGTAAGCATTGTTGAGAGCAGTGAGCTGAGCATCAGTGAGGGATGAAGCGGGGAGATCTGAGAGACCACCTGTAAGTTCCGTTAAGTTGCAATAGGAAGGAAGGTTGCTTTGGAGCTGGTTTTCACAAGCACTGTTGTCTTGACGTACTTCCAGTTGAGAGCTATGCCTCTTGCTGATTTTGTGCAGCCAGTCAGTGACAGCAACTACATCTCTTTTCTTTGTAGTTGCAGCACCATCACTTGAAGCAACGACAAGAAAACAGCAAAGGAGAAAAACGGTGAACATTCTCAAAGGAAGTAGCACAAAGTAACAACGATTCAAAAGGATAAGTTTGTGTAAAAATATAGTACAAGTGGCAGCTTTTATAGAATATCTAATTTATAATGAAATTCATCGTTGATTATTGACAGGCAAAACTGTTTAATTGATACCCACATTGGCTTCTTTACCACAGGTATTATTGTTATCAGAGACAATTTGACTATCGTCAGGTAGAGGCCAAGGCTCTACTTTGACCAAATTTGGTCATTTCTACAACCTAGCACAATAATTACTCTTACAGAGTAACATTTATAGTACAGGGTGTGGTCTTGCTACGCAAGACCACATTTATTTTTTGTATCAACATTTTTAGTAACAGACTATCTAACAGATACTCTAAGCCAGAGGATTAAAAGTGCTTATTATGCTGCACATTTGCAGTTCCAATGGGATTTTAGCTTTTAGAGTAAATTAAGCAAATGTTTGTGAACAACAAGTATAATGTACCAATTCAAATTATACGAACCGATTAGAAATACATGTACATTCATTATAAATGAGTGAATGACAATTACTTTGTTGGTTTGTCCTCCCTATTATGCAGATCAATTACATTAACACATAATAGACACTGGTATAGTGTATGTTGTCAAACATGTACTGTAATAATAAAATTAATGTAACAGTTAATATGAATTAGTTTTATAGAAATAAAAATCTAAACATGACAAGAGTACATTCAATGTATCATCAACACTGAAAGTGTTTAATTGTAAACTAAGCATGGTAAGTATCTGCTTGAAAACACAAGGGGGAGTGAAATATAACAGAGGGAGTGAACGGAAGAGTGAAGAGTGAACCGTGAACCTGGGGAGCAGACTAGCAGTTATTGTGGTTTTTACTGAGTAAACAATAAAAAGCAATTTTAGTACACCTACTATAATATTTAATTCTTTATTGCAACAGAAGTTATGTATAAATTGAAAACCTCAGAGGAAACATAAAGCAATGTTGCACTATACTTTACATCATTATAATAGCAGATCACTAATAAAAAGAATACACAAACAGTGAGATAAATGTTACTACAATAATTACTATCAAAGTAAAGCATTAACTGACATTTTGAGGTATAACAGACTGAGGCAATGCTTTTGGCTTTATTTTTTGTAAAATTATTTTCATGGAGCATTGCATTACACAGGGAGTCCTATATAACAATTAACAACAATGGCTCTAAAGTTTGAGCAAAATATTGCATCAAAAGTAAAATAATGTAATAAATCTTCCATACGGTTTCCAACTCTCCTCTCTCTATTTATTCTAATCTAAAGAGACTTAGCAATTTCTGAAACAATAATTTCAAAAATAAAATGCTATTATCATCAAAGATTAATTTGTTACCCAATACTACCTCTTGTGTTCAGTTTGTTGCTAAATACCATACAAGATGATTTATTGGCAAGAGTAATATTTGGCAAATTTGCCTGTGGAAAGTTAATGGCAAAATTTGTATTGGCAATTTTGCGCCAAGTGCTATTGAGCAGCAGATTTTATATTGGAAATTTCTTCAGAGAACTGCCAATCGCCAATATTAATTCCTCACCAATAAATTATCTTGTACGGTAACAGGCTTTGCCTTTCTCTGCCACCAGTGGGTGATATGGTCAGAATAATGCAGTGAGCATGATAATGTGAAGAGGGAACCACCTAAAGCTTGAAAATGAATCATGCTTAGTTGCTATGAAGCTTTTAAGTTTGATATACGTTATACATCAAAAATTTAAAGAATTTCTAACCAAATAGGTAACGGCTCTGAATATGACTAGAGTACATGAGGGAGTGAATAAACTGTGGGGGAGAATCAATAGTAATGGAACATTAATTGTGGTAGTGTAGGAGTCTTGTTTACGATTATACGCTGTTAATCTAAGAATTTGCTAAAACAACTATAGTAACTTTATTTAATTATTTCACGTAATAGAGTGTGTGCTTTCCTTAAAAATGCATAATGCTCCATCAAAACATGGTACAAAATACATCAACACATAGCATATGCCACAAGAATACAACAAAAAATTATACACATGTATACATGTACAGTGAAATTTCAGAATAAAAAAACTTTTAGGACACTAATTTTGAATCTTCACTACTTTAGTTGATACATACTGTACGTTGAAATTTGTTTCAAATGTTAAAGAAGTCTCATTATCTAATACATGCACTAAAATTACATAATGAATAGTTTTAAGTGTATGTGCTGACTGCTGAGCTAAGTGTGTTTACTAATAATTGTCTCACTGTCAAATAAATCTTTGACACTTTAAGGCATAAATAAATTAATTTCTGCAGCAAAAAAAACATTGCAATTAGATGATAGAACTGAGACAATGACAACGCTATTGCCTTCGTTCCTTCTTTAATGATACATACATATAGTGCTGTAAATTGAGAAGCAAAAGCAAAATACATATGCATGAGTATGTACCTGTAATGAATATCTACTCTTGTGCATGCATATAATTGTAAACATGAATCGAGATGATCCCACAATTCAGTTTATTGATTACAAAAGCTTTCTATAATAGATCAATTATCAATTGACCATAAAAGGGAGTAGGTACAAGCATAAGTGTGAGTAACTACTGGAATGTGATGAATGTTAGATGTGCTGAACAGATAAATTAATTTTAGTTGCATAATAACACAAAATAATTATTAATTTCCAGTGAACTATAGAACAGTATGGCCTCATTGGACCGTATTCTGTAGTACTACTGGAGTATAGCATGTATGGTATGACATAGAAAATTATATTATTGAACACATACATGTACAGTAGTTATGATGTTGACAAGTTTGTAGCTGTGGAAGCGAGTCATGGTAGCTGTAGAGGGAAGAAAAGAATAAAGAAAGAACTGATGTGTGATAATACAGTTATCCATATTCAGCCTCACTCTCCCACACCCTTCCTCCTTCCTTTCTCTTTTCCTTTGTCTTTTACCTATCATATATCTCTCTCCTTTTTCTTCCTTCTTTTTCATTTACTCAATTTTCACTTTAACTCTAACATTAACTGATAGTCCTTCCTGGATGTGATGTGACACTGTATGTACCTGATACAAACAAAAAGTAAATAAAAAGTGCTTTCCCAAAGTCAAAAAATGTGCTTATACTGCATAGAAGGAAATTTTGGAGGGAGTTAAATTTGCCGAATTGCTACATTTTGGTGATTGGCAAATTTTAATTTGGCTAATTTGCACATAATGGCTCAAAATGGTCGATTTTATTCTAGTGAATGGCTATCAAACGCCAAATTCACCAAATTTAACTACCTCCAAAATTTCCTTCTATACGGTAGATTTACACTATAGCTAACCCTGTACATACCGTATAATGGTTCTTTTCAAGGATAACAAATTTTGCAAATTTATTAAATTTTTTAAGATTCAAAAAATTTTATTCCTTAAAAAATTTTATTTCTTGAAATTTAATAAAGTACAAGATGGTAGAATAGTGGAAATTTGCAAAAGTTAATTTTGTGAACCTTTAGATACAGGTCATTCACAAAAATTATCCTTAAAAACCGCTATACAATAATAAAGGATTCATTATCGTCATACCTATCATTACATGTTGTCTTATTGGTCTCCTCCTAGCTGATGGTTCTTACATTTGTACTTCCTCTTCTCTCTCCTCCTCCTGTTCTATTTAATGACAGGTGCTCAGTCAACCAACGAAAATATCTCTACAGTACATATCAATTATCATGTTAGTACATATCAGTATGCATATCACAATACAGTACACAATTTTTAAAATTCATAAAAATCCAAATTTGATTGGAATTAGCTCTAATTTTACATCAATAACATGTACATGTCTATATATATCAACAATTTTCTCCAATTCATTTTCAATGAAATTTGGTTTGAGATCTTGCAAGAACTTTGGCCCAATTTTTGAGCAACTTCAAAAAGTCATAAAAATCCAAACTCAATTGGATTTATGTGTACTTCAAATTTTTTAAACAACATAAGGGGATGTACATGCATCAGAAAAAATTATAAAAATATAGAATTCTCTCCTTGTCATTTTTGATGAAATTTGGTTTGAGATCTTTTCACAATGGTACAGGGACTTTGGGCCAATTTTTAAGCAACTTTAAAAGTTCATAAAAAATTTAAACTTGATTGGAATTAGCTCAAACTTTCTACACAATATAGAGATATGTATATGCCTTAGAAAATCTAATAAAAATTAAAAATTTTCTCTTAGTCATTATTGACAAAATTTGGCCAATGTATTTGGTGCTGCTTTGAAAATTCACAAAAGTCTTATTTTGATTGGCAACTCTTTCCACCATAAAAATGTAATAAAATAGAAAAATTATATAGTACCTCTTAAACATTATGTTCATAAATAATATGTAAGTTACTATGGCATAAAAATAAAATAAAACCTTACATTAGGTTATAAAAATTAGCAAATCCATATCTATTGAACATGTAGTCACTTACCAGATCAATCCCCTTTACAGAAACTAACAGTAGGTAGACCATCATCATCAGACTCACTGTCACTGTTTAAAAGTGTAGAGTAATCACCAGCTTCATTCAGTGGCACCCTCTTCATCAGTATCTGCAAAAATATCACCATTATTAGTCTCTTTTATTATCTCCACTGATTTATCAATAATTGATTGATGGTCACTATCAAGCGGTTCTTTATTTTGTGAGGTGTTATAGAGCTTCATCAGCAACTGCATTTGGTCCTGCTTCATCCTTTAATGACAAAGGGGATTCTAAAGGTGGTCACAGTTCAAAATCAGGCTCAACATGGCTACACTTAGAGGTAGTCTCGCAAGCCAGACCATTCTCGAGCCTACAGTCATTGGCATCTACCCTGATCTACCCCAATGACTGTTATTATTGCTCAAAGGTCAACCGTGTCCTACCTCCTCTGAGCCAGACCATTCCCCAGCCTGTAGGCTGGGGAATGGTCGAGGGGCCCGTAACGCCTGAGAAATCTCGCACACACCTAGAGAAATCTTCATGAAATCACAGAAATCCACCTAATCAGCAGAAATCCAGGGAAATCACTAGAAATCCATTGAAATCAGAGAAATCTAAATAAATCATAAATAAAGAGAAACCCAGAAATCAAGACTAAAATCCGGAAATCAGGTACAATTTGTAGGGCCGTTCGGACCCCTCGGGAATGGTCTGGCTTGTGAGACCATATAGCCTGATATATGGTGAGACTAACTTAGAGGGCCTTTCCTCTGTTGTAGTACCAGTCGACTCAGTCTCAGGTTCTGTAGAACGCTTTCTCTTTCCCCTCTTCACTCTCCGTAAGGAATCAGATGAGATTAGTCCTGAAGTTTCAACATCACTAGAAATAGGACTTTATGATTGCATTCACAGTGAAAACTGTCTCCATTCTGCATGAATTAATTATATTGATTAACCACGCCCAACAGATGATGAAAAAAATTAATAAATTACTAATGTTTCACCGAGGTCTTCACCCAAAATTCAGTTTCAGTACAGTTATAATTATGTTCATGCATGATACATGTACTGGTAGATCCATATCAACAATCAGATCAAACATCTAACAGTCAAACTGAGTATCATCACAAAGACAGGAGCTACTAGTCCAGTAGCACTTGATACTCCAGTACAAGGCTCATGCACACTAACACCACTGCATGAGGTGAAAAATACTTCCAATGAAAAAGAGGTTTACCATGCAGAATAAAAAAGATCAGCATGTAATATTAATTTAGCTAAAATGTAAATGCGAGCTTTGGTTCATGCACTTTTGAACATCATGTGTAAATGATGCATCAAATATTCCAATCTTGTCAAGTATTTGTAATTGTAGTTAAATACGGCCATTCAGTAAAAGGTATTTGTATTTAAATACACTGAGGTGTATTTGACCCTAAATCTGCCACAAGTCCCATGTAGTCCCTGTCCCTATTTTATCCTTTAAGTCCTTTGCAATTCCTGTCCGGTCCCCCTTTTATGGCAACTCCTGTATGGATGTCTTCACCCAAAATACTATACCAGAGATAATGAATTAAGTTCATACATAATACATGCAGATCCATATCAACAATCAGACTACAATTTGTCAAATCCAACAGTCACTCAAACTGAGTATCATCAAAAAGACAGGGCCAGTAGCACAATTAAGGCTCATCCACACTAACACTGTTAGTGTGGATGAGCCTTGTACTGGAGTATCCAGTGCTACTGGACTAGTAGCTCCTGTCTTTGTGATGATACTTAGTTTGGTTGGATTTTTGGTCTGAATGTTGTTACTGTGTGCCATGAACATATAGAGGCTACCTCTTGAATAGTTTAGTTTTAGTTATATTAGTGTCACCGTAAAAAATTGTCAAATTAATTGAGCTTTCAGATAGCATTAATGTCAGTTCATAATTTGCAATAAAGTGATGCATTTATTATGGATGAATATTAAACTAGACTTAAAATTGATTTATATGTTCATCATAATTATTCCATTTATATAAAGGCTATCATACACGGGGCAACATTGTTGCATGCAACTTTGTGGTTACTTTGA